AAAGAGTGACAGGACAGTCATTAGGGCTCCCACCAATCTATTTACTGGAGAAATGTAAAACAGCACCTGGTGGCAGGAGGAAAAATAAAAAGGGGTGGGGGAGGGGAAAGTAGGAAGGAGAGAACGAAAAAAATCAAAACAAAAGCTTAGGCATGACAGATAAAACACAGGCAAGCACACATCCAAGGCTTTTTTTTTTTTTTTTTTTTTTAACATCTGTTCATTAAAAAAACCCCTTCTAACAATTTTTCAAAGTAAATATTTAAATGTGTGTGTATACATATATCTTGCTTGCAGTTAGACAACTCAATCCAATGCTGACTGGATCAATTTCAGGAGAAAAAAATCTCACTGACTGATAGAAAAAAGTTGTTCTTGGCACTCTAGGTAAATTGTTCATTTTTGTACATTACAGTCTGTCTCTGCTATAAACCAGAAACCAAATAATCATCATTCCAGAATTCTGAAAAAAAAAAAAAACCTATGCAAAAACACTCTTCAAAGAAAATAATGTGTTAATAATATGCAGATAAATGGAGAACAGGATAAATACAGCATGCATTTATTAAAGATGTCTTTCTATGACTAAAAACGGATTTTCTGCAAACAGAAAAATGACTGATGTTGACTTCAGTAAAGCACTTTGGGCATAACATGGGAAATTAGAATCTCCTTAATTAAATTAGAGGGACTGAGATTAGTAAATTATTTAGGAATTCAAAAGGGGGATGTCAAAGGTTAGCACTGAAAGAAGCAGCACGAGGTTCAAGAAATACTACTACTGGCGTTCCTCCAAGAGAGGTCTTCAGAGAAAAAAACAAAACAAAACCATGTTTAATTATGCCATTTTAACATCCTCAGTAAAAAAGCAGCCGCATACTAGTGACAAATACAAGCATTACAAGGAGTCGGCAACACAAAGGAATAGAGAATGACCATATATAAAGTGATGACTTTGCAGGATAAGTTAATAGGTATATGATGAAATTCAAAAGTGCAAGTTTGTGGACTTAGAATTAATAGAAGACTTCTGCTCTAAGCTAGAAAGTCACTTGTTAGAAGCAAATGGTGTTGATCTCAGTAAAGCACAAAGCAACTCATGATACACCAGCATGCCCAAGTCTATGAGCCACTGACCTGGTGGAACCAAAAGACAGACAGTCCTAACACATCATGGGATGTTGAACGGTATCTCAGCTGGAAACAGTATACTACCATAGTGTCTTGTACAATTTGTTTTCCTATGTTCACGAAAAGCCTATAGCATGATGAGAAGAACACGCAGCTCATCTCAAGAAAGTAATTTCCACTGACACCAATGGAAATAAAAAGTCAGGCTTCTTCTGAGATGCTTATCAATAAGTTAATGAAAGATACATGATGTAAGAGCATGGAACTACAGCAGAAACCCCATAACATCCCTTTCAGTTTAAGATTCTCAGGTACCAGGTATTCCTAGCTGAATTTATTTTTAAGTCTATAGGAATAAACATGTTTATGAAGTATCTTCTTTTCAAGAAGTCTACCCACATTTGTTTTTTTGTTGGGTGTACTGCATCCTTAAACTGAGCAGTTTTTTTTATATTTTTTCCACACTGAGTGCCTCTGCCATCTTTCCATCTGCATGGGTGCACGTTTCTTTAGCCCTCCCTATCCTGTTATAAGTTCTACAATGTTCACATCAGCCAATTGGATGGTACTGGCAGCAGAAAGTCAAATGATTGCCATCTGGAAGTAGTCTCACAGCTTAAGAGGCCCTGAGAGGTGGGGGGGGGGGGGGGGGGGGAGGGGGTTTTCGCTTAGGAGCCCCGGGGAGGTGGGGGGGGGGGGAAGAGTTTCCTTTCGCCTGTGGAAAGGCATTAATCAAATTGCTAGGGATTAAAGAAAATTGGTCCATGGCATTTAGGCATTTTTCAGCTCTTCCTTTAAAGGTCTTTGAACATACAGATTTCCCAGAGTTATTCTGGAACCTTAACATCTGTCAGAAAACAGGCAGTACCAGGAAGCCCAAACTCTTCCTTTTGAAATTGCAAGTGTTCTCTTCCTGTCAGGGCTTGGGGGCAGGGGATCCCCCCCCCCAACAAACTCACAGGTTTATTCAATAAGCATCCAGTTACTTTCAAACCAGATTCATATGTCTGAGTCATATGAACATGCTTGGGAAAGCCTCTCTCCACTTTTCCTGTGGATTTATGCCTCGCGGTTTGTGCAGTTTCAGAAAAGAAGCGTAGCTCAGGTAAGTATTTTGTTTACATATGCCCAAGTGGTGAACTATCATGATGCAACGCTAGCATTGTAAGTTTTTAAACAGATCAATAGAGATGTTTTACAAAAACGTTACCGCAGACTTTCAAAATGTATTCGGTGATTTTGGGAAAAAAAAACCTACCTACCAAATCTTGATTACATTCACTTCTACACGTGCATTGCCACTGTGTAATAACTATTTTTTCAAGCATACTTTTTGCATAGCCTTAATAGTATAGCCACTTTAGCATATGCATCCTTAATACAGAAATTAAATTCATTCTCCTCAAGAAATACTTATAATTATCAAGGTATATTTAGCATACAGAATTAGGTGACAAGTGCAGAGGCTTTAGTGAAGTCGTCCAAGTACCTCTATAAAAGGTGTATTTCTCACAAAAGGTACCTAAGCCTTAGATACAGGCTTTAAAAAGCTGTTTTGATATTTTACAGGTCAAGTCCTACTGACTTTCCAGTTGTAGCTAATGGGAAATTTCAAGTGCTCCTTCTCACCACTCTGGAGAAGCTAGCTTTTTAACTTAACAGGTTCACTGAAGAAATAGTGAAATCTGAGGAACTGAAAGCAATGTTTAAACAAAAATTTAAACAATAAGCCAAAAAAACCCTGCAGACCTGTGTCTGGAAGCTGACGGTCACTTTGCTGAAAGTTCTTGTCCCAGAGTATGAATATATACACAGAAGAAGAAAACAAGTATCTCCTGTTTCACATCTGCTTGTGCACTTTGCAGATCCCACTTAAATTGCTAAGATAGCACTGTTTTTGAGACAATAAGATAGTCCAAAGAAAATACTGTCTACAATTCAGTAATTTTCACCAATTTATAATCTGAGTTCAGCATGACTTAATAGACATGACCTTTTACATTGCCTCCTCTAGCTGTCTATGTACTTCAAGTTTGAAAGAGGTTCCTAGCACTAGTTTTCCTTCGCATGCTTATGTAATGCTTAAATTAATATTCGTAGTTAACTGGACCCTGTACAGCCATCGGCTCCTTTTTAAGGTACCCACATTTCCTACCCATTCCTTCACACAAGTAGCTCTTTGCATTATGTGTATCCATTCCTGTCTTTTTATAATACATCACGTTTCTCCGCTCATTTAAACACACTTGACTTAACTTTTGTTGGGAGACCTATTAATAAGGCAGACATATATAGAAAAGGTGAGAGCAAATTTATGTTAACACACAGCAGCTTATTAGAGCATAGTTTCCAAACGTATACATGATGCATATAAAAGTATGTCACATTTGATTCTTATTTTTCACTCGTATATTTTATGAAAAACAACTAACAATAACATTTCTACTTGAATTCTCTGCCTCGGCTTACAAAACGTTACCTTTTTCTCTAGAAGAATCAATTTAAAAAGGATCAAGACCTGAAAAATACAGAAGAAAAAAACATGGCGAGTGAACCATTGCCATTTATCAAAAATACTGTGCAAATTGTCTTATTCAAAGTTTCATACTGATCATCGATTTTATTGGCTAAACGGTCAAAGACATTCAGCCAATAAAACTAGTGTCCTACTATCCTTTCTCCATCTGAACATTTTTTGCACAACGCACAATGAACTGCACAAACAGGAACCGTATACCTTGAACCATACAAAGCTTATTTATGAGTAAGAACATATTCTATCATCACTCCACTGGTTTCAAAAACCAGTAAACTGCATAAGCACAGGAGAGCTCCTAAACAGAAACACATAAATGAATTCAGCAGAACTCCAAGAATAGCGCTCACCTCGCCTACTTTTAGGCGCCTACAGATGAGACACCTAGATCAGAGATGGTTGTCCAGACTTTCTTTTTATTCAAAGAAAACAGACAGATGCTTCTAGGGCATAACTGGGATGTCTGAAGTGAAACAAAAATGAGTTCTACCCCTCCAAAAGTCTACTGTGCATATGCAAATACATTATCCTGGTTTCTCAGTTTCATCTCCCTGATGCCTCTTGGTTAATAAAAAAAAATTCTAAAGGTTATTTTTAACTTCGCTTAGGACACTCTGCGTTTCAATAGTCATCAAGAAAAAGGAGGGAAGCAAGTTCCCTCAGGTTCTATGACAGCAGGAGCTGCAAAAGTTACAAGACATGGGGAAAAGGGATAAGTTGTGCATGCCAGGACATTAGCAACATTCTTCCCTCATGTTCATCTGAAAAGAAGAGGGAAATGGAAACAAGGCCATAACTTAAAAGATACAATTTGCACTTTGGGATGTGAGTCAAGAAACTTCACAAAAACCTGGAAGTCTCCAGGGAAATCCAGGAAACGGACACAACTTTTTTGTCTAGAACTAACCTTAACTGAAGGTGTGTACACAGAAGGGGAAGGGAAATCAGAAGTCTGTAACCAGAAGTCCTAAAGGAAAGGCCTTCACTCCTAACACATATGTATTTAGATACGTTTATTTTCTCAGCTGCTCACAAAGCATTTTACTTCACAAAATTTGTCCAAAGCACCATCATGCTGTACTTTATAATATAACAGAGAAAGCATACCTTGTGTCTAAAGTGAAGAACAAGATCCCGAGGAGACAGACCTGAGATAGCAAAAAGAAAGCCATTATTCCAGTTTAATAGCTAGTAGAGATACAAACTTTTTTTTCGAGCAGCAGTAATAGTTAAAGCTACAAAGGAGACTGATAATATAAGTAATCACACCCTGTAATACTCCTGTTGGCTCCAATACAGCATTATGGAAACAGTGAATTAGAATCCTACACTAAGCATTCAGAAAACACAGGGAAAAGTTAGAATCATATGGAAGTTTTCTCAAACAACAGGTATGTGGAAGGTTGAGTACCCCATACCAACAAATCGTTTCACCTAAAAATTAATAAAGTACTGTTTCCCAAAAGGGGCTGAGCACTTGCTTGTCGAGCCAAGATCCATCATAGCATGTAGTTATAGGCTGAAAGCTATGATGGAAGGAACAAAGCATTTATTTGACATTTATTTAAAATCCATTAAGGAAGGAAAGCCTAACAGAATACTGTGCAGGCACATAAATCTCTGGTGCTTAATTTGGTAATGCACAGAAGCAAATTAGCTCAAAAAGCAAACGTGTTGGTTAGCACAACATTATCTCTGCTGCTTGTACAAAAACATCACTTACCAAGATAAACTTGTGACCCTTCCAGCAAAGTTCCTCCCAAAGAGCTATTCATATGCTCATAGAGTTCCTGTAAGAGTTGGAACAAAAACAAAAACCCCAGAAATTAATGGCATATGGTCACACAGAATTCAGAATACATAAAAACGGCTTGTTTCAAGAATTTCAACAGCTTATTTCAGGAAGAAAGGCAAGTTCTACTAAAAGAATCAATGGAGATGCAAGAACGAGCGTGATGGTCAATGCGCATTTCACTACAAAATCAGAGAGCTGACTGACTGTCATGGTAGTTCATTTCGTTCTTGTAATTTATTACATGAGTCGAATAGCAGAATCACCTATGAAAATGTAGTATCTAAGCAAGTCACTCATTAAAAACATTAAAACCCGCAGCCATACGCCAAATGCTTTGTTCCGTATGAATATGGTTTAAACTTTTACCTTTAGAATTGAAATTTGTGAGAAGTCTTTTTCTTCAAAATATGCATGTGTAATGAGCTGCAGCTTTGCCTGAAGTAACCCATACAAAGGCTTGAAAGAAACAAACAAATAGAAAAGCAAGCAAGTGAAGAAAACTTATTTAATAGCCCATTTTAAACTTCAGTCTTCTGCCATTCTTATCCTGCAATATAGACACATTATTAGAGGTACAGTTCACTTTCAGAGGCTGCTAACTTGAGCACAGAAGACAAGGCACTGCTTTTTAAATGATAATAATTCTTTCTTCTTTCTTTCCATTGGTACATACCATACCATCATTAAACACCTTTCTGGAAAAGTACTTTCCTGCTTAATGCTGCTCATGCACCTGTAGTAACAGTTTTCAATCCAGCTTCAAGCACTGAAAGAATTTCTTTTACCTACCTCGCAATTGGTAGCTATTGCTAAATAAGTAGATACACAACACGTCTCCTCGCAACAGGGTCTGCTATGTATGCGACTATCTTAAAACCTCTTTGACAGTTGTCAACAGCTGCTTTCTCTAGTTTTTTTGATAATCAGTTATTACAGTGACCAAACCCCCAAACCCTACTACATGAAACAAAGAACTTCAGAATTAGCACTTAAGAATAATCAAAGTGCAAACAGATACCCCAGTTCCCAACAACAGGTAGAGTTTTACAAGTATTCTTATGATGAGATATCAATTGAAGGCAGCTCACTCAAATGCCATGGTTTTCCAATACATTTTTACTTTACTGTTCATTTTGTCACCCTTTACAATGATTTAAAAAATATATATATTTAGAGCCAAAAGTTTCCAAATAAGAATATGGAAAACAAACCACTTAATTTATTCTTTGGAAGTGATTTGAGAGTTAAACATTCTTACCAGCTGACTGAGAACACAGACACTTTTCTGTACTGTTTCTCGGGTGATGTCTGCTTGCCGTACTTTTAATGCCTAAGAAATAGAAATATTAACAGTATTTTTACCCACAATTTCAAAAAATGATTTCAAGGATCTAGTTGTCTCATACCCCTATTTCAATAAAATCCTAGGACTGACTGCCTTCAATGGTAGAATACTGAAACCACGTAACAGTACGCCCTTACCTAGTACAAATGGACATAACACCGATTTGTCATCGGTTGTGTTTTGTGTTCACAGCAAAGATCCAAATACAGCTGTGATGATATGCACAGGAATGTTTAAAAGACATTAGTATAAGTAGAAGGCAATAGCATTTTAAACTGAGGGTAACAGAAGAGAAGAAAAGAAGCCTCAGTGCATCACTTGTTCTTCTCTAACACTATTTGTGCAAACGGACCAGGCTGAAAAGCCTTTGCTTAGAAATAGTTTGCTTTATACTCAAGCATTTTGTTTGAGATACCTATAAAAGAGAAGTATCATCTGCAGAAGCAGCTATTTTCTCAGCCAGACCACATGGTCCTAGCACTTAACAGTAGAGCTAGAAAAGGTGGGGGCAGAAATACAGCCAAGTGAGTCACTTAATTGTACAAGACAGCAAGTGCGTGGATTGCAGCCCACACAACAACAAAAAGCCAGATGGGAAGAGCGCTAGAGTTGTTATATAAAAACACACATTGTTTTATATTCTACTTGTTCCAAACAGTTCCATTTAAAAATCTATTTATCTTCTTAATTGGTTAGTAACCAGCATAAACTGGAATCCAGAGTGCAATAAAACCAAGTTAAAACAATTGCATAGGTAAAGACAGCACGACTTTAATCACAGAATGCAGTGAAGACTGTGTACAAACACAGTGAGTGAACCAAAATCAACAGGAGAAACAGAATTAAAATCCGCATTCATAAAATTTCTTCACACAACACAAACAGAAACTTGAAATACAATCAAGGTATGGTTAAGACTAACACAGAGTACATAATTTGCATCTTCTGAACGCACAACTCATCTAGAACTCGAGGCTACCTGGCATTCCAGATTCTTGGCCTTTCACTGGAAAGGGCATATTTTTAAAGAAATCTGTACAAACTTTTCAATTAGAGTTGCATAGATTATACTACCACTGCTACTTTTGAAAGTCTGGACACATTCTAGCAGATCAAGTACCTAGTTTCCTCAAAGTGTGACCACACACACAGTGTAGCTCTCTTCCCCATTTTTCAGCTTCATTGGGAAGAGGTCAGTACCAGTAAGCAGCTATGTAGCCGCATACAGTGAATAGAAAGATTCTGGTTCACTTCACAAATGTACTTTTGGCAAAGGATATATGTGGAGAGAAACATCGCAACATTTGCATGGTCAGATCTTAGGAAATACTCTAAAATCCTTCACAGTCACACAATGGAGAAATTTAAACTCAAGAGACCTACTTTCTGGCAATAGAACTTGGCAGCTGGAGAGAATGTCAGCTTAAACTTTGCTACTTGGGGCTGACGTCTGGATTAGTTGTCAAGAACCAAAACATATTTTGAAGTCTTCAAGGCAATTGACAAGGAATACAATATGCCTACTGACATAAGGGAAAGAAATAGTCCTCAAGTTCTGTAGCTATCTACTGTGCACGTTTTCATGGATTTTTAAGGTGAGATGATAATTCTGATCCTGCTGTCTGAATGTTGGTGTAGCATAAGCTACTGAATTTCAGTCATTAGCACATTAAGCCTGTCAATTCACTGATACAATTCACAATTTGTAAAGTTACCTTGGCTTCAATCTGCCTATAGCAAGAGACACCATATACTGTGGTTCGATCCCCACATCTTGGTGGCAAGTGGAAAAACACTGTATCTATGAAGAAAAAAAAGAATACTTCGTAAGTCACTAACGAAGGGAAGTGTTCAATATTTTTATTTTCAGTACCACTTACTTATTAAAGATTTACTGCTGAAAACGCTGGGCATTTGAGTGCTACAATTCATCAGACTTGAAACAAGAATCGTCTATAAATCTACGCCTGCCCTGAAACTAGAGTTTCCAAACTATGAGGTGCTTTGTGGAAGTGGCTCCAGTTGCACTAATATGGATATTTTGACAGCAGCCTCAGTTTTAGCCTAACCAAACTCCTATGAGCCCACTGACAGATGCTCAGGAGCAGCTCTTGTTAGCAGCAAAGCATCACTGAAACCCACAGATACGCTGCACTTCCGGTTTGCTGTGAAGGAGCAGAGAGAAGGCACCGTAAGGCTACTTTTACAGAACTGGTGAGGCTGGGTGTACAGTAGCAGTGCAGTGCCACTAAGAAGGTAAATGCAATGAAGGTATGAAAAATTCAAGGAGGAAATATACAGCCTGAAAGCTTAGAGCTCTTGCTACCACTGCCAAGGTGGATATCCATGCACAACGCTACTACTCTAGCAGAAGGGACTTGGAGCTGTAGTCTAACATAAAACAGTCATTTTCGCTGTGCAAGTGTAACAGGAAAGAAGCAATCTCTATATAAAACGACACAAGAAAAGATTTTAAGAAGAGTAAGCCTTATCATTTGAATCAAAGTAATATAAAAACACATACTTGCTGTTACTGCAAAAAAAAATGTTTGTAATTCGTAAATAAAGGAGACGCAAAATATACATTATGATTCTGTTTACCATTCAAACTCATATTGAGTGAAATTTATACCGAGACCAATCAAAATTTTTTGGTTGCTTTGTAGTAACAAAATAGAACAGAATAGACTAGCTCGTATGTACTGGGTCCAGCTAAGATAGGATTATATGTAACAAAATGTATTTCCTCAAATAAATTTAACTCTATAATAGAGATCACATAGGGTTTCAGTAAACCTTTAAGAGCATTTCCCATACCAAATCACCCTCTTTACAAAATACAACTCCTTCAATGGGAGCTGGCTATAAACACTGAAGTAAATACACAACTAACAGTTACAGTAAATAAAATAATTATCTGAACTACATGTGCCAGTTCCAAGTTCATGTTTATTCCTGCCTATAAAGATTTACATCAATTTTGTTGCTATGCCAGTTTTTTCTTCTTATCAAGAAAATACACATTAATAACCTTTTACGGTAGCAATAAAACTGCCAGTTCTGCATTAACTTGCATAGTACTGAACCAAGAGGGAGAAGGTAAGTGAGATGGCTTCTAATTTCCTAGCTTTGAATACATCCTATCACTTATGAGATATCTAAGCATGCAGAAATGCAACAAAATCATGGCCCAGAACAGAGTCAGCGACTCTTACTGCAGCTAGGAAAGGGATTATTTTGACGTGAATTCTTTCACCTCCAACTGAATCTCTGGAAGCTGAAAGATTAGAAGACTGAGTACATAAAGTTAAAAACCCTTATTAAAAAAAAAAATCCTACCTTTTTTTTTTCGGGGGGAGGGGGGACTATTTTACTGTTTCAAGTGGCTTCCTTCTTTACTGCTGTGCAGAAAAACTAATGAAATAACTGCAAATAAATATGCTATAGTGATGAACTGAACTGCTGTCAAAACCAAATAAATAAGTTAAAAACTTTTCCAATAATAGTAGCTGTATGCCAACATACTTATATTTTTAAAAGTGTTCCATCAGTTATCTTTAATTGTCCATTTTGGAGTGATCAGTACTTACGCTACTTTGGCTTAGAATAAGCAATTTTAAATTCTGGATCCAGATCTCAGAACTATATAATTGTTTCCAGAGGGAGGGAGGTCAGTCTTCAAGATGAAAGTATATGACAGACAAAGCTGCTCAAATAAAAGCTCCAATCTACTTTATCCCCTTTTTCCTTAAGGATCCTTAAGGGCATTGTAACCTATTCTGATAATTTACCAAGAACACTAGGCTTCAACAATGATCTTATTGGTAACCACAAGGCAAAATAATCCTTCTTTCCATTCCGTAGACCAATACACTAAGGCTCCTCTTCCCGCCCTTATATTTACTTGTGTTCAACATATGCCATTCTGCAGACTGTGAACGAGAGCTCTGTAGGTCCTTGCAGGTCATTCCAGTAATCACTTAGCGTGGGAAAAGGTATTGTAATCAGTATATATGTTACAGAGCTGAACATCAGCATCTCATCTTCCCCTCGCCTCAAAACTGCACTGGTTTTACTCGAGAGGGTCTTCTCCCTTCAAAGAATTTCCGAGATAGATGGTGTCCTTGTTTTGTGTTAGGAGTATATACAGGCGATACACAAACCTTGAACTGAACTTCTATTGACCTCTGATTTCTTGATGCAGGAGATGCACTTTTGTGATCTATTTTCACTTTAAACTTTCATCATTATCAATGTATCTTGCGGGCTACATAAAAATGCAAAGTATAAGAAATTTAATAGCAAAAAGAATGGTTGGTCAGATATAAGACTCTTCTCCTGGGTGCACTAGAGGCAGGAAGGAGACACTAGTACATGCCACTTCCCTCTCTGGTTTCTTACCTTCTTGATAGTTGTGAGCACCATCTGGTAACGCAAGAAACGGCAAGTATTTCCATTCTTCTGGTAAACTGTGACTGTCATGTCCTTCTCCGGGCATTAGGGGAGGATAGGAAAATTCAACCTGAAAAAAAAGGGGGACAGAGGGAGGCAGAAAGAAAACAGATTACTGCTACCACACAAGCAAGCCTCTGTGATTCAGCCCAGCAGTCTTTCTTTAGCAGCAGCATGAAAGAAGATTTTTTTTTTCTTCCTGCTACCATTCCTCATCTCTTCCTCCAAAGCATCCATGGACTGACTTCTCTGTGGTCTAACTGAGAGACCCTGGGCAGATTTGGCTTCCACAGTGCTTCTGTCCAACCTGGCACCTTTTCCTCAAAGGGAACATGAAACAGATTTTCAATTGGCAAACCTTGCCTTAACAGTTGAACACCTTCTCCCCTGCATGTGCATAGCCAGCAGCCTGCCACCGTACCTGCAACGTCAGCAGGGGTTAGTGTTAGAGAAAAGACATCCTAAAACTGGATTTGGCTTCAAATCTGCTCAACTGCTCATGATTAGGCAGAGCCCTCATGCCTGCAGGCCTCTATATTTCATGCTACAACACGTTGATTAGTCTCAGAAGCTACACCTACAGCAAAATCCTGCTTTTAAGTATTAAGCTGTTGGCTTCAATGATGAAATCAGTTCTACACGGTAACTGAAAGCATCTCCTTTTGCTGTTCCCAAGAAATCTTGCCTTTCAATTTCACCTCTACTTTATTTGCCATTTTTCCAAGCTCTTTTTCCAAATAAGACGACAATCTCTCGATACCCTTGCACTGTAACACGTGCCTAGGACAGCTCCCCATGACCAGCTTTCTTAACAGTGTTACTGTTCACTTTCTTTTCCTGTGGAGACCTTTCTGAGTTTCCAGCCACCTTCACCAAGTCTTTTTTCTAGATAGGCATTCCTTGAAGTATCAAGCAAAACCTAAACACAGGTTTCTTTATCAGTAAAAGAAACTGGTAAGGGACTTCTCTTGGAAAATGCTTAGTCATAAATTAGTCAGCTGCCAAATGCCTAAATGGAAAATAACCTATGGAAAATACAAAAGCATGACAAAGCAACCACACAGAAAATAATCTCAGCATTGTATGGAAGATAAAATAAAAATATCAAGAAAACAGAAGTGAAATTCTTCGCCTTACCACACAGCGTCACTCTTTCTCCAGTTGTTGCCAACTTTCGGGGAAAAAAGCACATAAGACAAGAAACCAGCCTAAGACACCAACCTTTGCTACTTGATGTACCAAGTTTTCTTATTCCTCATACCATGTTGCATATCATGGTGTGCAAAGACATCCTGAAGGTATCCACAAAAACCCAATAAAGATCTAGTGAATGACCAAATTCCTGAACTGAATATACGTAAGCCACAAAGAACAATTTAGCAAGCAGGGGAAGGGAGAGGGAGAGAGAGGGAAACAAAAATAAAAGGATATGCAATAGTAAAAGGATTAGCTTGGTGGGGGAAGGAGGAAGGCAATCCATGCTTTGATTTGTAGTTAGTTATCTTAAGAACGCGTACCTCATTTTAAACAAAATATGCCATTAAGCTAACTAGAAGAGTATTTGACTTCTAAATGGGACAAACGGTGAAACAGCAGCATATCAAGGAGCAGAGACACTGCCTGCCGTGCAGCACGTGCCTAATTCCCGAGAATCCCACAACACACTTTCCACATTACAGACTGTGAAAAGCTTAAACCGTTAGAAGCTTAATGTAAGCAGTTACAACAGAGAAGATGATCATACCATACAATTCCATACTGTCCAGAGATTCAGACTTGCTGGCTGAAAATACCATTACCAAAATTATTACTGGACTAAGCAGTGCTATCCTCTTTGCAGAATGAGTAACTTTAGCAATAAATAAAGCAGAGGTCCTACGTTTTAAGGACATAAATACTTACAAAGAGCATCTTTACTAACTTCCTGAAGCAGATATTTTACTTCAGTGCACAGTCAATGGAGGGGGATTCTGATTCAGCCTCTATAGTCGCTTATTTTCATCAAACACAGAGGACACCCTGTGACTGGCTGGATGCTAAGTTTCAATAAATACCATCCAAAGCATTTTTCCTGACAGGAAAATACTGCAAATAAGGATCTAAGGCATCAGCACGTCTCTGTACTTACAGAACAGCAATGTTCATTTTGCATTGCAGTCAAAATCATGAATTCAGAGAAACTGAAAGATTATATAAAGATACATCTAGAGGGAAGAAGGGTGGAATGAGTTAAGCTGTACGAAAAGCATGCATTCGCTGAGGAATACTCCTTTTTAAAGCCCAGACTAAAGCTGACAGACCAGGTTCCTATGCTGCTTTGCCAGTAGGGAACTTGCTGAAAAACTGCTCGCTCCCCCTTGCTTCAGGCCCCAATTTGCTGTCAACCCATCAGCTGCTACCAGCAACTCCCAGCAACAAGGATTTCTGTAGGCTCTTACGGTTTCAAATTCAACAAACTGAAGAGGCATTAATGGCACCAATGATAATCTCGTTTTATATCAGACTGTTTATTTCAAAAATATATATTTTACTATATGAATTTCTGTATGCATGCGTGTGTATGCACATATAGATGAGAGAGGATCACAAAATTCAGAAAAAACAGAATTAAGATTGCCTGAGTGACCTTAGTTCACCTATTTTATCTGCATATGTTACGATAATCCCAATTTACATGATGACATACTGTTCCTCTCCCTCCTGAAGAGGATCCACGCAAAGTACCCTTGTTTCTAAGCAGGAATCACATTTGTGTAGGGTAACGGACTGCTGTCTGCACAAGTACCATCTCATATTACAGAGGCTGAAAAGGGTGGAAACAGCAAAGAGGTAGGCAGCTATGGGAAGAAAAAGGGCAGTTTAACAGCAAAGGCAGTGTGCAATGCCCTGGAGATCTTTATTCTAGCCCTGCCTACCTGAAAGTTTCCAGTAATTTTATTTCAAAGTAGTCACATCAAACTTTTTTCAAGTAACCACCACAGGGGGGATTCATCTCCTCTGACTAGGTATAGGAAAGCAGGATCTCAGAGCCAGTTTTCCCAGGCATTCTGCACAGTCAGAGAAAACAGACACCTCCAGAGGGTGATTCACCTGATCTACTTCTTTCCATCATCTCTAAAGACAGCTAGCTCAGACATCGAAGTCTAACTTACAGATGACTGAAGTAATGCAAGTGAAACTCACCCTAACTGTTCCTCATCTTCTAAACATCCTGCTCAACACCTACAGCTCAATTTACACAATGGCTTCAATTGCAGCTAGGAAACTTTTGCCTAAAAAAATACGCTTTTAACACTTAAGCATTACAGTAACACTGAGCAGTCTTTTAAAAAAAAAAGCAGTTCTTGGTCTCAAGTTAGTTATACAATATTGTCATAATACTGCTTATTTAATAAGCATATTGCCTATTGCTTACATAATATTGTTCTTAAGACCTTGAAATTAAGGCATGCACACATACAAAAATGATAGCGAGCGAGGTAGAAAGAATCTCAGTTATACCATTTCCAAGTTTTTGAACAAGAGAAGCCTCAGTAAAATTCTTTTCTCGGACTGCGTGCGTACATTGTGCAGTACAGATTTCCTAGTGGAGACTACTACCTAAAAAACAAAATAGTTCTTTTTCCTCATCTTCTACTTTAAATTCAAGAACAATCATGGGGGACCTATCCCCTGTTCCTTCTCTCTCTTTATGGAAAGAAGAAAGAAGGATAAAGAGCTTGATTTTTATTTAAATACAACAGTGCACATTTGTATAAATCTACACGTATGTGCATGCATAAGCATGCACTTCAATTTCCCCGTTCATCATTAATACATACAACCATTAGAAAAGAACGCCTAGGTTTATGAGAAAGAATTTGTTAATGAAGGTAGATAGTCAATATGAACATTTGCACGTTTTCTTGGTTGATCATCTGAGCAGATTTTGCAGTTATTTTTTCCCCCCCTCAAGTGAGTTAAAGAGAGCTTCTCAACAAAATGAAATTCATTTTGAAAGCTGAACTCCTCAGTGACTTCAAAAGAACCTATATAAAATATGAACCAGTTTTTCCACTCATTTCTTACTCTTCCAAGCATCAGGGACCTTCATTAAAGCTGGAAATACTATCATGCCTGTCAAGGGGTTTTTTGATGGCAACATTTCTGCCAGTTCATATTTCCTTCTTCTGTATATAGGCTGCTGCTGAATATAAAGTTCTATGCTGTGATTTAGTGAAGAAAAATAATGGTGCTCTTCAGTGCACAGCATGTGGTAATTCTTGTTGATTACCAAGCTCCAACAAAACACAAAACCATCCCTCTAAACTGAACTACAACTGAATTTTTCAAATTGACATTTTTATTTTACCTGTATTCAGCTACGTTAACTAACCTTTTGTAAGTAATTCTTAGTGAATCTTACAGGAATTGGCATCTGTACAACAGTGTGGACCCAAAGTGAGTATTGATACACAGTACTATCTTGTTTGCGGAATGAAAACAAACAGAAAAAAATAAAACCAGGTAGGCAATCTGGTTTCGTTCCTCCCATTTGAACGGATTTCTTAGCCAGAGTAAGTTTACCAGACTAAACCACGGTAAGAAAAGATGAGTGCAGACACTCACTGCTTCAATAGGGAGAGGATTTCATCCCAAAACTAACGCAAATTTGAAACATTCAGAACTACAGCATTATTTTAAAGATAAGAATTTTTTAGCAAGTTGCAAAGTTTCATTAATTTATTTTGCACGGAGCAAGTCCTTTCCATTCTAGGAAACAGTCGTTCTGATGTTCTCTCGATCGCTTGTATTGCATCAATAGGTAGGACAATTGCTTCAAATAAATAAAAGGAGCTCAGCAGAAAACACTCATTATTCCTATTTAGGAGAACCTTTCCATTCATAAATCATTTCAGCTAGTTTCAATTCTTGGATAGCAATTCTTCCCCTCTCTTTTAAGGCTGAAAAGAAGAGCAAGAAAAGTAGAAGAATATTGAATGCTGAGGATACTGCTAAGCAGCAGTGACAAATAAAATGGATGAGAACAACACGTAAATTGATCCCTGATTTCAAATATGTGAGGATAGC